TGGAGCCTGGTAAGGGCATCGCCCAACCACCTAACCTCCCCTTGCTGGCACACCCAATTTAGCGGGCACTCACAAGACCATTTTGAGCCTGCGCCCCTGACGAAGTTGCTTGCAAAAAACAGTGGCCTTTGCCACAAAAGTAGCTAGCTGCATGTTAACGTGAGGTGGAAAGTGCATTTGAATAAGTGCTGCTCGGCCCGAATCCAAATATAAACGGGCGGTCTTGACGCTGTTCCACCGCCCCAATTCAACCAGAGAGTCGAAAGAAACTCCCTGGGCAAATGCGTGAGAGGCTCCTCCACGCCTGATGCTGTAAGCAGTAAAGCCAACCGAGGCTAGGTTTAGAGTATCTAAAAGCAAACGGAGGGCCTGACGGAAGGCCGGGGTCGAACCATCCCACATGAAAGCAGATTCAGAGCGCTCCCAGGCGAAGCTAAGTAAAAAAGGTAGCCAAGGGTCACGAATCAAGATACTCTGGGGGCGCTTGGGCGAAGTCTTCGAAAACGGAATTGCGATAACCACATTGGGCTCCCCTGGTTTCCAGCTGACATGATCAAACCTAAGGGAGGTCATCTCACTGGTTCGCAGGAGGGCTTTGTACCCAAGAAGCAACAAAGCGGCAAGCGCATGCTCCCGCACCTCAAGCGCTGCCCCGGCAAGGGCCAATACCACATTGGCTGGCATGGGAATTGCCTGCCTGGGCACGTGTTCAGAGGTCCAGTTTGAGAACCATTGTTTGGCAATAGGGATCTTGAACCGCGACTGGGGCACAAAGCGGCGGAAGGCACTCAACAAATGCCCTGCGTAAGAAATTGGGGTATCGTCCAAGTATAGGGACTCCAGATATTGGGCAATCAAGCGATCAAGGTGGTGAAACTTTGAGGGCATTTCAATCTCTTCATCTTCAAGATACGAAAAGAAAGCTGATAGGGCGCGACGATAGGCTGCAACTGTCTTTTTGGCTAACCCGGCATAGCGAAGTGTCTGTGGGGCCTTAGGCATCACCTCACCGTCTGGAAGGTCTGTCAGCAAAGTTCCATGCTGACAGAGTCCAAATCGGTAAAGTATACAGGTCGCCTGCCAGGGATATAGCCGCCAAACGTCGCAGGACTCGATTGAGTCTAGTGGATGGAGAGCGCCCTTTGCCGAGCGCATAGTAGAGTACCTGACTGTCCACGACCACAAACACCCTTTTGTGGCGCATGTCAGGCTCCCGCAGCACTCGGCGAATGTGGGCCAAAAAGGCCTGAAATTCCAACTCATTGATATGCCCTTCCTGTCGCCATCTGAATGACAGCACGTCACGCCACAGCCATCTATAGGCTGGGTACGGAAACAGTTGCCGTCCTCCCTGTTCCTCGACGGCCAACCTGACATCTGTGCCACGATAGTGACCCAGGCGAAGAAGTTGCTGTAGATGAGCTTTTTCGAACCCAATTTGCATGGTCCTCTCCATATGCAAGATGCCACTGACCACCTTTTCCTGCAAGCCCGGACTTTGCAGCCGGTCATATTTCATGAGGTCTTCTCTGATCTTCACCTTGCGCACTTCGGCAAGGGCTTCTTCCCTGTGCTCACTCAGGTTCATGAGGTTGACGGCTGCTTTGGCGTACTCCTCACACAAACCCCAGGGGTATGTTGCTTCCTGCTCCATTGGGAACACCACCTGGCCAAGCTGCTGATCCCAGTACGGCGGGAAATCCTCCCCATCTCCGTGGGGGCAAACAGGCTTGTGAAGGGCTTGGTAGATGGTCTCGCTGTTGGTCAGTAAGCTCGTCCACTTTTTGCGCCTTCCCCCATAACAGCAATGGGAGAAGATCGCCATCCTCACTCCTGGAAGACCTGCCAGGTCTATGGCTGGCTTGGTATACCACATCCAAGAGCGCCGGGGGTGATCCAAGGTGAAGAAGCGACCTTCTTCGTGGAGGGTCCTGCACCTCGCGATGGATCTCATTGCCATCTTGTTTCCTTTCCTCACCGCTGCTGCGTCATGCGCTGCTAGGTAAGTGAACCCCATCACGTGGCTTTCATCCCTCAGTGCCACTGGCCCCTCATACCATTTTCCGGCAAACTGATAGGGCCTACCTCGCGCCCTTGAAAAGGTTTTGCTGTCCGGAGCGTGATGCTCAAGGGTTGGGTCTGATGCATCGGCATGGGCCCACCATTCTTTTCCTCTCTCCGTGAATACATCCATAGTGCTGTCCCACTTGTAATCTATGGGGTCAACCACTCTGAATCCAGCCTTAAACATGGTTCTCGACAATCTGGCCTCTGGACCACTGTACCTCTCCGAAAACAATGGAACTCCTACCGCTTGATGCGGGCAATAAGGCGCGTGCCTCAAGCAGCACTCCAAAGAGCAAAGTTTGCACCCGCACATCGCGGGGCAGGCCAAGTCTTCTCCACGGGCTGTCTCATCCGTGAGCTCTGTCCGGCACACCCCACACACCAGGTCATTTGGGCTTGTGGTCCCAAACGGGCGCTTGAAGCGCTCGGCTACGCACGACCCGGCCCCCATTGGACTGGCGTCAGTGGCATAGATTCTTCCACAGATTGAGGCCTTGAGGTTTGTGAAACTCAAGGGCAGCAAGGCCATCGCCAGCAAGACCTCATCGTAGGCATCATCTTTTGCCACTTTGGATGTAGGCTTGCTGCCGAAGTAATGGAACACCTCGCTCATCAGTGACATGGCTGGCCTTCGAAATGCACCGGCGAAAACCAATCGCCCTGTGAGCCCTGCCACCACTCTAGTTTCCCATGTCCGGGATCCCAGCAGGCACATGCAAGCTCCGATTGTAAAGGCCCCTTTGTCCGGGTGCAGCATGAACACCCCTGCTTCTCCATCAAGGAGACCCCCCTGTAGGGTTCCTCTTAGGGCCCCCGCCAAACGCTTGCTCATATTGGTAGGCAATCCGCACCGCCGGCATGCCTCTTCAAAACGCTGGTGCTCAGGGCTCGCCTGTCCTTCCACTACCTTTCTCATTGCTTGGCTGACCGGCCTCAACTGATCCACCGAGTCCAAGTAAAGTAAGAAGCGTTCTCCCTCAGGGAGCTCCTTGTTCTTTTGAATTTCAAACTGTCTGGGGAGTCCAGCTTCCTCAAATGCGAGAGTCCTGATGGCTTGTTGAACAATCCCCACTGCGGAGAGCCATCCCATAGGCACCGTCCTCAGCGACACCCATGTCATCTCATCGTGAGGCAAGCCAAGGACTCCTCCTCTCACCTGCTTGCGGTACACGAACATGCCACGCCATCCCCGTGGCATCTCAAACAAATTGAAGGCCGACTGCAAATCCTCACTGTCTATAACTATGGCTCCTTCGGCCTCCAATTCACAAAGCCCCACCTGGCCCACATAGGGCAAGGTCGACTCATCTCCTTCAATTTTGCGGCTCACCGCATTCAATGGACATAAAATAGATATAAATCTTTGCAAGATCTTGCCATTCTTCTCTTTTGGGACTGCTCCGGCCCCATTCAGGATCATTTCACCGGAGGGGCTTCTCAAGATCTCTTCCTCCGGGCAAGGCTGAAAAAGACCTAGCTGATACCCCTCTGCCACGAGCCTCTCCCACTCGGCATCCGAGGCCCGCACATACGACTGGGGTACCGTCTCTGGCCATTCTTCCGCCGGAAGGATGGTGAGCAGTGGTTTGTTTACCATCTCCTTTGTGTCACCATGTAAAAACTTGGTGATGGGCTGAACGGCAGCTTCCCCCTTGTTTGGCCAACATGGAATCACTTTGTCGGCTGCAAGGTCTTCCATCACCACCCAACTAGATCCATCATAACCGTAGCCTTTCTTCTGAAGCTGCTCCTTTAGTTTCTGATAAGATGGGATCTTCAATCCCTTCGGGCACATGCGCCTCACCGCGGGCACCAAGTGCTGATCAACCATCTTGGTTTGCGCCGTAGTCAGCTTCCCGGGATGATCCATGTGGCGTGGTTGCTCCCAGCCTGTGCAGTACAAGAAGTTCAATGCCCAAGCCATCAATATGACCCACGCCCGAACTTCCGACTGAATGTCCCGGCGTAGCTCTAGGGCATCTAACGAGATAGGCAGGAGATCGGGGCCCTCAGGGGCATCTTGGGCTGTGGCCTTTTGACCCAAAGTCGTCCGAAACCTGCCAAACTTTGTCCTGAGATGCCCAGCATTTTCCAGCACATGCCAGGCCACTTCCAATGCATCCCGTTCCTCTGCAAGAAACCCTGCCATTTTTCTTTCAAACTTTTGTCTACGCTTCTTCCACAACCTGTTCAAGGCCTCCTCTTCAATTTCATATTCCTCCGAAGATGCCACTTCACCTTCGGGCGACTCAACATCCTTTTCGGACTTTCGCTTCCGCTGAAGCTCCCCTCTGGGGTCTGGGGGTTCACTGGGTTCCGCTGGGATTCGGTTTGCCAAGGCGCCACCATCTACTTCCTCTCGGCAGCGTCCTCGGCCGGCGTCTTCCCCTTTCCCTTCTCCTTGCTCTTTCCTTTCCCCTTGCCTTGGCCCTTGGCTCCGAATTCGTGCTCCCCTTTGCCCTTCCAATGGCCTTTTCCTTTCCATTCGGATGGTCCTCGGAGCTTTTCCTCCCGCTCCAATTCCTTCTGGATCATTGCCTCCTCCCCCCTGTCCAGAAGGGCTACGTCGTCTGGCTCCACCAGCTCGAGGAAGCGTGCCCTCACCCAACTGTTGTTGTCTTGCACGCTTTTCTCCAGAGCCTTGATCCTCTGGGCAATGATGTCGGCAGCCTGCGCTGACTTGTTCTCGACCAGTAGGTCCAGGAGAATTGTGAGGTACTTCAATTCTCTCCCGGATCGTGGAGTCCATTTCGCCTTCAGGTTCGGGACCAAGGCCACGTTGTAGTAGGACACTGCGTTTGCCTCGATGTTTTTGAGAATGCTCTTCCCCTTTTGTCGCAAGGCCCCCACGGGGACGCGCCCCGCTACCCCCATGGTATGGAGGAGACGGGCCGCGAGCCGGCCGGGGTGCCGCTGAGCGTAACGCTGCAACTTCAGAAACAGCGTCATCCCCGCGGGGGCCTTTTGAAAATCCGATTCCGAATCATCCTCGGCTTCCGATCTGTCGGGATCTTCATCTGATTCGGCCACTCCAAAGGGCCCTCTGTCTTTCGGCCTTTTGTTCTTCTTTTTGCCTCTCTTCTTTTTTCTTGTGGCTTTGCCTCCTTCGGCTCCGTGACCTGGAGGGATCTGAAGGAGAACTCCGTCCTTTGCTCCTCTGCTTCTTCTTTCCCCTGCTTCTTGAAGTTCGCTTTTGGTTGCGCCCTGAACTCTTGTCAGAGGATGAGCCCTCATCGGAATCCGGCTCCGAAGACGATCCACCGGGTTCCGGGCTAGTCTTCACCTTCCGCGCGCTTCCTCGCATCTCACCTGAAAAGGGAGGGCTTCCCTTTCCACTCTTCGTTCTTTTCCGTCCCTTCTTCTCCTTCTTGCCTGCACCTTTCTTCTCTTCCTCGGTGACTTCAGCTGCTTTCACCTCCGCCTTCAGGGCTTTGAGGTCTCTGGCCAACTCTGTCAGCCTTTTCTTTTTCTTCACCAATTCTTCTTCCGACCCTTTCCTCTCTGTCGTTCTCTTCATTGCAGCCTTTTCCTTCCCGGACGGCCCTGGCGCGCTCTTCCCTTTCTCTTCCTCTCCATCCTCTTCATCATCACCTGGGTCATCCCAGGGCAAATCACCAGCTCCTCCAGCGCCTGGCCCTTCCTTTGGGACTCTTTTGAAATATGCCTGCACATGTCCATGCGTATCCTCATCTAGGATCCCTCCGCTGTTGTCAACGAGCTCTTCTTCCTTCCACTGTCGCCACTTGCCTAAGTGGACCACATGTTCTCCTGTTCCGCCCTTACATTCGGCGGGAGGACCTTTGCATATATGATATGCTCCGTCCACCGTGGTGACTGCCCCGTCTGGACTCGCAAGCCACCATCTGTAATATGGATCGGTAGCAGTCACCACGTCCCCATGCAAAGTCCTCCCGGTCTCTCCCGGGGCGAACAGGCGCTTCACCCACAAGACCACTGTGCCTTGTGGGTCGCCTCCATCGTCGTAAACCTCGCCCTCTATATAGGTCCCCTTCGTGGGACCTTCGAGGGACTTTCTCCCATGCCATTTTCCAGGCATGTCCCTACACCCCCTCCCCCCAGGGGAGGGTGGGCAAGGCTTGATAGCAAAACACTAGAGACAAACGAGAAACTAACTAGCTAACTAACTATGATATAACATCGCATCCCTACTCATTCGCTACACTACATTCCTAGGTGCTGCTAATTCCTATATAGTCTAGTTATTATATGTTATCATATATAAATACATAATCATATATTACATGCCCATTATGCACTTGGATCATGCAACCCGGCAATTAGAGGTCTTTAAAGCCGATTACATTGCCGCCAAGCATCGTGGATGGATTCATATAGATTTGATTTAACAAATTCAATAGCCTTTCTGACGTGTGATCAACAAAATCCTCATGCTATCTCACGCTACCAGTACCATGGCTAGCAACATGCAATGTGCAGCTCAAGAGTTGGACACCTCACGAACCCGGCCTGAAGTGCTAGCTCCGGCATCTGCATTCTTCTCGGACAACTTCTGTCGTCTCATCAGCAGCGGATTGCTCTGCAACGGCACCGGAGGGCGATCTCTTCCATCTGCATCCGCCTGAGCCGCCAGATTTTGCCTCAAGGAGTTGCCTTGCAAAGAGACACCGGCCTCGTCCGCCTTCGGTCTTCGATTCAGCAAGGGGTTGCTTTGCAAAGAGACCCCCTTCTGCTCGGCTCCATCCGCAGCTGGGCTCGCCAGTTTGGGCCGTCGATTCAGCAAGGGATTGTTCTGCAGCGGGAGGCGCCCTCGCACCGGCGCCGGCGCGGTGTCCACCGCCTCCTCCTCGCCCAGTCGCCCCATCCGCTGGCGGCGGCTCAGCAGCGGATTGCTCTGCAAAGAGATGGGATTGGCCTTTTCCAGCGTCGCCGCACGCCTTAGTATTTCGGGTCCAGTGGAAAACCAACGACTTGCCAGGTCCATAAGCTCAAAACCCAGACACTCCATGTATGATATATATATATATATATGCCGATCAGTTGGGGCGGTTTGGGGGGTCCATGTAGGCATATATGGCAGTCCCATGGAGCCTATGGAGTCTATGGGTAAGCTCAACGAGAGTTCCCTTCACTTTTTTTTTGCTAGGATCCAATGCAACAAATCCAGGGTGCGTGGAGAGTTGCCCAAAGATCTTGAGCTGCACCCCGCCCCCCCCAAAAACACCACAAAACGAAACAAAAGTTGTTGGGGGGCGTGCACTGTGCAAATATATAGATGTAGCGCATCACATCTTGATTCTACATGTAAGACAGTCACTGACAAACTAGGGAGGGGAACAAACAAAAAAAACCTTCAAAAAAAACATGTTTTTTGCAAAGGCGGCATGCTCAGCCTGTTGTCGCCTCGCGTGTTCCATCCGCTCGTCGGTGGTGTCCGAAAACGCCACGGACTCCGAAAAGCTGGGACGTCGGAACAAGTACATGGAGTTGTCCTGGGCGGATTTTGTTGGAGACATCATCCCTCCAACAAAAACAGGAAGTGTGTCTTAGTCTTGGGCCTCTGTTTGTAAAATCAATGGTCCTTCATACTCCTTGATGGTCTTTCCAGGGTTTGTGATCTCTCTCCGGATCGTTGGGGTGTTTGGGTGTTCGGGACGTGTCTTTTTTTTGGATTCTAGGTGAGACTACAGTCAGTACTTGTGTGTTCCCTCTGGTTGTTCCCTTTGGCCAAATGGTTCACTTTCATGACATTATAATCCTTTCTGACGAGCCATGCTGATGCATGACCACAACGTGTCCTCCCTTTGTCAACCCAAGCTGAAGGATGGCGGAGTAGGCAACCTCAAACAATTGCACATGAAAAATCATGGCCTTACAGGCATGTCATGATCCACGAGTAAACCTACAGTAACGGGTTTTGACATGGTTTGACCCATGCTGGCGGTTGAAACTCGTGCTTCTTCCTGGCAGTTGGCAGCCTCCACCCTCCCACTCTGCACACGTCTTTGTGCCTAGCCAGCGTTGCATGGGGAATCTCCGGCCGCTCAAGAATAAAGGGACAGAACCCATAAATATCCGTAAGACCTGACCTGACTGTAACATGGTGACACCTGAATGTAACATACCAGAAACCTGTATGATGGAATGTGGCTACCGACCCTGAACCACACGCCGTGCACCGGTCCGAGGGTCTGAGGCGTCTGTGCGCGCCGTCATGGCGGTGCCGGCGGAGTCGCTGCGGGCACGCCCAACCATTGCCTGGAGGGGGGAAGCAAGAAGGGTCCGGGGCCGAGGCGGGGCTGCAGTTGCAGGACTTTGTGGGAGTTTTCTGGGAAACGGATCTCCATACCCATCCGAATTAAGGCTGCAAAAATGTATGAGCTGCTTTGAAAATTGCTAGCTTAGAGCGCCCACCGCAAGGGTCAGTCACGGACACCACTCACTTGTGCAAACGTGAAGTTTGAAAGTAGCCCCTCCCTATCACAGAGTGCGAGGTAACCTCTCTCTTTTTCACAGCGCAGTAGGCCCTTCACAAAGTGAACCAAAAGGGGCTATGGTACGACATGGGTAGCATTACATGGGTGACACATGTCTGCACGCGTCCAAAGGGAGGAATCCCATCTGAAGTTCGAGCGCGAAGCCTGAGCAAAGTGCCACATATTCCAGCCTCAAACAGTGGCAAGTGGGTGAGGCCCTCAGCAAAGCCGTGCCTGAGCCTGTCTTGCTGGAATTTCATCCTTTGAGCATATCCACTGTGGATATCTTATGCGGCTTTATACGTCCTGAAAGTACTGCTTGCTGCGCCCATGGCCATACAATATCTATGCTTGACCTTTCCAATGCCATGTCGGCTTCCTATAGCCAAACCATCTACCCGTGGAGCATGCCCCAATCCTTAAGCTGACTGCTCACCTGATGCCCGGCATGAACCACTTACCAGACTGTAGCACTCGGCCCCTCCATGCTCAATGCAATGACTGCCTGTCACTTGCACATTGTGCGAATTGTGCACTTGCCCAATTGCAAGACTGTCCCTGCCGTGCCCTTTCTAGATCTTAGACGTCCTGCATGATCTGCAGATCTGCAAACCAAAGTGAAAAAGATGTGGAAACAAGTGAATCACACGCGCGCCCTTGGGGGGCGTCAGGCTTTCCAACGCCTTGACATGGCCTCTGCTTGGCCAGTGCCTACATCAAACTAATTCCAAATGGCCCATTTACTCCAGAAAGCTCACGAGGCAGCCTATCGAGCAATGACCTGGCCTGGGGTACACTTGGTAGCAACGGTGGCCCGTGCTGAATCAGCACTCAGCCTGGACCTCAAGCCCAAAATGAACTGGGTTGCACCTTGGATCAATCCCTGGCGCATTTACAGTGTACTGGCGCTCCGCTACCATGCAAGCGTAAAGTTTGAAGGCCACCCTCTCTATCACAGAGTGCAAAGTAACCTCTCTCTTTCTCACAGCAAGGCGGGCTCTTCACAAACTGAACCAAAAGGGACTATGGTACAACATGCGTAGCTTTACATGGGCTGCAGCTAAACAACACAGTGAGTGGTGGATGTTCAAAGCGTCGTCTCTCCTTTTTCGGTGTGCCAAACCCTCCGCCCTTTCACGAAGCGTTCGGAGGCTGCTGAGTTCCTGCCGTGGCACCGTGTCAGGGAGCTCGCCCAATAAATGCTGGATGTATTCCCAGGTGAGCCTGACGTCCGACGTCCGTCTCCGATCGTCGGTGGCATCGAGCCACGGAACCACGCGAGCCACGTGGTTTGGTGGGTTTGGGACCTTCTTCAGGGCCCCCCCAAGCCATCGAGGCTCGTGAGTGGGTCGGAACCCCTCCAAAAAAGAACAGAAACAAACGAAGCAACGCCAAAGCTGTGCACCCAGCTTCCACAATCCCAAATGACCTCCCACAAAAACGGCCGCAAGAAGTGATGATTCGGTGAGCGCTCTCGTGTACCAAGAAAAAATCAAGGCTGCTACTGGATCGTTCCTCTGCCCCCCCAGCATCAGCACCCCAAGCATCTCTTCCGTTTTCGGATGGCTTTTTGTCACGAACTTCCGCCTGTCCACCTTCAGCTGCGTCAAGAACTTCTTCCGCTTCTCCTCCAAAGGTTGGTGCTTCCGACTCACCGTGGAGGTGGTGATGTGCTTCTCTAAACACATCAGAGGTGATCAATGCACATCAAATGCACATCCCTTTGACCACCTCTGATCCATGGCGGAGAGCTGATCCCCAGGAGTCTCGGCAGGCATCGGGGGAAAAGGTATGAAAAATCCCCCACATCGGAAGGTCAGCCACTCTCCTCTTAAATGAATCTTCCAAATGCTTCGAAAGGTCTTGGCTTGATTCATCTGAGAATTTAAATCGAAACCGCCACCGCTCCTGATTCGGAGCCCACTCCGCCGTCGGCCGCAGGTCGATACCGAAGAGCTTCACGATCCAGGAGGCCAACTCGGCCGAGTGGATGTCCTTGTCCGTGGCGTCCTGCACGGCGTCTACTACGGCGTCTGGGTCAAGCCGTGGATGAGGAGAGTGTGCATTCTCGGAGAGTGGGGGGAGGAGGAGTGGGTTTTGGAAGAGTGGGAAGGAGGGAGAGTTGAAATCCGAAAAAGGGGGATGGTGCTGCTCCCTCTCTCTCTCTCTCCCTATCTATCTCTCAGATGCCTCAAACATGAATAGCATGGAAGTAGAACAGGCCCTTCCAAAACCTGTTCTGGCCTATCGTCTCTGGCCTGCTTGAATCGATCCCTGCGTCTTCCCTTATTTATTCACCAAAAAATGGACCGAATCCCCGGCAGTGCTCACTAAAGCGATGAAGCTGCTAGTCGTAGTCATTGATCTTGTTTGATGACTTGTCGTGCCAGGGTCCAAGAATCCTGAGCAGAATGTATGCTGGAAGTTCGTTTTCGGCGATGCGGCTGTGTTGCAGGGAGGAGCCATTCGGAGCCATGGGATGCCATGGGATGCCATCATGGAAACGCATCATGGAGATCCTCCATTCAGATTCACCACCTGTTTCCCCCCCAATTCTTGACACGTTCATTCAGCTCCTTCTCCTCTGACTCCCAGGATGAAGCATCCGACTTCAGCTTTTCTTCTTGGGCCGAATCCAGGCCTGTAGAACAAAGGAGTGAGTTCAGGGCAGTGACTGAGTAAAAACAGCACGGTCAATGAGAATTCAAAAAAACAATGTCTTCTCACTCACCCCAACCACTCCCAACCACTCTCATCATCACCATGAAGATGTGGCTGTATGCAAGAGCGTTTCAGGTTTAACCTTCAAACTTCTAGTTATTGTTAGGGTTTGTTGTGGTTTGCAGGTTGGATTGAAGTTTGCAGCATTGAATTACTGCGTGGCGCAGTAATCATCATGAAGAAACTGTATGGCGCTGTCGTGCCTCAGCTCTATCTGAGCTGAGGCGCGTGTCCTTCCTTCCCCAAGCGAAAACAATGGCACCAAGTGAACAATTACGGTCAGTGAGCCCGTTGAAAGGTGGCTCAATCCAGAACCCAAGGATCTCAAGGTCAACTCTTCCGATGCTTGAACGGTGGATCCCTAGGCCCAGTGGCCTAATATATATATATATATAGTCTCTTGATGAATCAACCCCCCCATGGATGGTAAAACTTCTTCTAAACCTGGGGATGTAAACAATCGCAATGGTCTACATGACACCCGTCACATCTCATCCTTCCCCCCCCAGAAGAGAATCTTCCACCCTCCGCATCCCCAGCCACGCTCCGCACGCCTCCCTCCTCGGCTCCATCCCGGGAGGTGAGCTGTGCCAGGAAGCCGCCGCAGAAGGGCACGTGGTTCACACGTTCGGAACAGGTGCTGGGCAACACCTTGAGACCTGGAACGACATGGACAGAGCCACGCCACGCAGGGGCTTTGGAGTGGGAGGTCTTGGAGGTGCAACCTGGGAGGGGCCTGGCGGCCCTGGCGAGCCGCTGGAGGAACGAAAAGGCTGGTTGGCTGGTGGTGGTAGAAGAAACTAGATACACATCAGCGTTTGCCGGGCATTTCTCTTCCAATTTGCCAGATTTTGCAAGTACCTCAACGCCTCGAGAGTCTTTGACTGGCAATTATGCATCCTTCCTAATCTTGCTGGCACATAGGCCAAAGGGCCTAAGGGTACCCACACCATTTTGCATGCAATTTGCATCACTGGATTCGACCTGCAAATGGCACCCATTGGAGCCTTGGAAATGCTCACGAGACGTGCATCATGCACGATCGGCTCAGCGCAGAAGATTCCCTGCACTCACAACAATTGGTACATGAGCCGATTCTGAAGCAGCACTGCCTGTCCCATGACCATGGCGCTTTGCACCGCAGCAGAGGCATCCACTTGCCGTAAGGCACTGGCCTCGGTGGTGTCCTGCACCATCGGCTGTGCCACATCCAACTCCGCCGAGTCTTCCACCGGCGCCGCGTCGTCCGCGGCGTCCACCTCCGGCGCTCTGGGCGCCGAGTCCTCCGGTGCAACGCTGGGGGTCGAGGTCGGCGCATCCTCGGTCTCCGGCGCGGCGGCGAGGCCTAAAGCCACAGCTTCATCCGCTTCAGCGCGGTCGGGCTCGTTGGTCCGAAAGAAGGCAGACTCCCAAGATTCCTCCTTGATGGCCTTTCGCAAGACCACCTGCAGTAAGACCATCCAATTATAATCATCTATGTCTATATTATATATATATATATGTATTTTTGTATACTGTATGTATGTGTATGTATATACATTATACACTGCATGATGTGTGTCATATGTCTTGAGATGTTTTGATGATGTTCCGCCAAATCCGTGGGAAATACACTGCACTCCTTGCATCATCATGTCTACTATCTTTGAGATCTCATATGGTGATTGAGTCTGAGCCCTGTTGCGTGACAAATCCAGCCTGAGCCCTTTCACCGCCTTCATGCATGCCTATCCAAGATCATCCAATATCAATCTCTTGCAACACCTGCCCAAGTAAAGCCCTGCTTTATACAGCCCCTCCATTCAGGGATCCACGCTTAATCGAAGAAGCTTTGGCCTTCCCCCACCTGCAGCTCAGAAGTCTCCTTCGAGCCGATCACATCAGCATAGCTCTGCTGGAGGTCCACTTGCCCTCCGAGCGTACGCCGCAACGACCGTCGACGCCAGCGGCTTGCCGTGCTTGCTGTGCTTGCGCTGGCAGATCTGGTGCAAAAGGAGATGGTGAGGCGACGTCCCACTGCGCTCAAACGCAGATCTGCAAAGCTTTGATGAGGCAAAGGGATCCGCAGCAGCAGATTTTGCCGCCCGAGCTGATGAAGAAGCTCAGGTTCTTCCTGTTCCACCTCCACCTCATCAGCTGGAAGACGCGTGGTAAGGGCTGAAGAGGTCTCCATGAAATCTCTTGCATACTCGGGCAGTGGTGCAGGTACAATGACCACCTCCTCGACTAACGGAAGGTCCAAAACCTCCTGAGGAGGAGGTCTTGGTCTTGGCCTTTGCCGCGGCTGCCGCAGGTCTCGATAGTATCCAAGACCTGCCATGTGAGAGTCCTTTCTCCTCAACAAAATAAGCAACCCTTTCAAACTACCCACGCTCCACGAACATGACCCCCCCTATTGAAGAAACACAGAAGTGGAAAACAACCTGGTCCTCCAAGGGTTTACAGTAGATGTATCCATGGTCATGTTCTTTAGAAAAGGATATGGATATGATTATATTTTTGGGGGGCAGCATGTTTTCAAACCGTTACCCACCCGAAAAGTATAATAAGAAGCCTCAAAATCACCGCAAAGAGCGGCTCCAGCCTTCACTGCCAGTTCCGAAGAAATAGCCTTCTCGGGCACCCTGGAAGCTGTCCACCGCAATGAAGCTGGGGAAGTCTACCAAAGCAGCCTGCGGCAACATGAGAACCTCCACTGGCTTTGTGGTGAAAATGCAGGGTGAAGCCCAATGAAGCTGTTGGGAACCCTTTCAAAAAAAAGGATAACTGGAAAAAAAATTGGAATCGGACGACATGAATGCAAGAACTGCAATAGTGGGTTTGTAAATCATAGAGGTGGGAATGTCCACCGCTTTCTCCTTTGTCCTCCACAAGAATGAACCACGTCAATAGCAAATACGGTGGCCAGGACATCAACACCAGCTTGTTGAATGGGCGTCGACTTCCACACTGCTTGCATGTTGCATCTTAAGTACATTTAAGTACTCGAAAGCCTCTTACAGTAGGATGTCTTTCACCCATTGCAGGGCTGCTAATAGCAAAGGAAGTAATGTCAACCTAGGATTAGGGAACCCCCCCCCCTATTAGTCTACCCAGCGTTCAGGCCCCTATAATAAACTAATTTGAACTATGAATTTCCACAGTCACCACCCTCTAATAAAAAATTTGTTTGGCTGAAACCCCCCCCTATTAGTCTACCCCCTGTCCCCCCAGGAAACATACAATTATTCAAATATATATGTGTGTTTAATTAGTTTTGTTCTTTTTGCCTTTTCAATATTTTCTTGTTTTACCATGGTGAAACTGATCTTCTGATTGATTACCAATGCTCTCCCAAAGCAACGGCTTTCCTAGAATTTCCAAAAACTCTCTAGGAAAATTCTTTCGTTTTCCCTTATTAAAACTCTATCAAAATCTGCAATTTGAGAAGCTCAGAAAGGGTACCCCCCATACACCCCCTACCCCCCTCTAATAGTGGGGTACCCCCCCTATTAGTCAACCCCATCCATGATGAGCTCTCATGGACCTCATGATGAAAGGGAATTAGTATTTGGGCTCTCATGGATCTCATCAATCCATCCCAGCTCTTGCAAATACTAATTCCCTTTCATTCCAATTCTTCCAAATACTAACCCCTTTCATCCCAACCCTTCCAAATACTAAATCCCTTTCATTCCAATTCTTCCAAATACTAATTCCCTTTCATTCCAATTCTTCCAATTACTAATTCCCTTTCATCTCAATTCTTCCAAATAAAAAATTCCCTTTCATTCCAATTCTTCCAAATCAAATTCCCTTTCATCATCTCAGAAATCAAATTTGTGCCAATAAGCTCTCATGGATCTCATGATGAAAGGGAATTAGTATTTGGGCTCTCATGGATCTCATCATTCCATCCCATCTCATCTCCTCCTCCTGTCATCATCAGGTCATCCCCACTATTAGGGGGATGTGATCTCCAAAACCTCCAATCTCAGACCTTGTTGACCTTGTTGACCTTCTAGGGGGGGGGGGGCCGTTGATTAATCCGACGTCAACATTAATCCATCAATCCGTGATAGTTTGATGGCGTTGGGTCCTGCCATAGAGTCAAAAGATTGAACATGCTTGCTGCGTGATCCAATCTGCAACCAACCACCCTTCGTTTCATGTGGATCTCCACACCACCCGAGCCCGTTCCGCTAAAGCCACCGTGGCCCCACCTGTCCACCCCGCGGCCCCACGGTCCTCATCCTCCAGCTCTTCCACACCCATCTCAGGCAGTTCTTCCACAGCCCCCGGGGCAGCGATCCTCAAAGAGGTTCCCAACTCCAAAAGCTCTCTTTGTGGTGCAACCTCGTCCAGCTGGTCCAGTGAGGCCTGAGGATCAAAGAAAAACATCGAAGAAACAATGATGGTAATCCAATCCGTAGCCTCTGACCATTGAATAAACCTTTTAAACACTTATATAATAATATATAGATAATTATAGATATATAATATCGACAACATAGAATCAACCTTTCTCACACTCTATTCCCAAAAATGGTTCGATAGAAACATCGGTCCATCGCGCCTCTTCCTGTGATCTTTCGGGCTCCTCTTCCGGTGTCTCGTCCACCGTCTCATCCACTTCGGACGTTTTCGTGCCAAGGTCCTCCTCAACTGCTGGGTCCAGGTCCTCCGAGCCCAGCGCGAAAGGAGGGTCGCTCCACCCACCACTGAGGCCAGGGCGTATGCCCCAAGTCAAACTTGGACTCTCAGGGTGAAATAGGGAGACCTTCCCGGCACACTCTGGAAGGTTTGCGCAGACCAGTCTACCCGGAACCGGGGGTCTCCAACCACCAACCCCTCTTGAAATACACACCCATGCTTCGGACTTCTTGAGGTCTGAGGTGCCGGGTTGTTGGGCTCTCAGGTCCGGTCACGTGGTCATCCTGATCTCCCACGTGGTCAGCCTGTCAGCCTGCCTCTTAGCGTGAGGGCCCTGCGCACACCTAGTTGGAGCAACAAAAACCATTCAAGAAAAAGAAACTGTTTGCTCTTGAGTCCTCCAACTCTTCAAGGCCCTCCAAATCCTTCTCCTCCTCCACCAGATTTCCATGTAAACCTTGAAGCCGTCTGGCAGCCGCCAAGGCCTCCGGCTTGGGCATTTTGGGCACCACTGGCAGTTCCAAGGTCAAGGTCTGCTTGGCCTTGTCGAACTTGGCACTGCCACTGCTTTCGTTGACCTCCCAGTTGAAACATGTTGAAACTGCTGTGAACAGGTGCCCCTTTCCGAGAAGAAAGTGTGAAAAAGTATCGTGTTCAAAAGGTTCATGAAGTGGTCTTGGTATAAGTCTTTGGGTATACAAGTGAACTCGAAGATCTTACAGGCATCATTGGGGTCTTCCAGCTATTGCAAAGCTCACCGGGAAAAAAGAAAACAAGTCCACTCAGCTTTCCGTGATTGAAACATGTAGAATGCAGGCAAACCCTTCTTTGTGCTTGAAGTTTCTGGCAACGGCATCACTGAGAGATCGAAGTCGCCTCATAGGGTAAGGGCATGTCCAAGTAGAATTTCCCATCCACCTCCACTACCACATTGTCAGATGTGACCTCCATCTTGATCTCACCTCAATCCACGAAAGGAGGCCTGAAACCAAGAGGTTGAGCCTTCCGCACTCCGTCTAGAATCATAAGAGGCACAGATCTTGAAAAAGGCTGAAATCCAGACTCAACCCGCCCCAGAGGTCCAAACTCTTGGGCTCCGCTAGGGACTTGGGACGGCTCCTTTGAAGGCACCCTGCCTCTCCCAACATGTCACTTCCCCATGTGGGTTTTTGGACCCAAGCCGCTGCTGCGCTTCACAGTTGGCAGCTCCACCACCAGGCGCAAGAAGCGCGGGATGGAGTTCACCAGATTGGGATCTGCCCGGCCGTTGACCTACACAACAAGCCGCCAGCACTGGTACCAAGCTGAAACAAAGACGCTGTTGAGCAAACACAAAGCAACACCAGTCATTCGAAGAGAAACCACACATGAAAGCTTGAGCAGAAGAATCCTTGGGTCTGCAGTTTAGACAGCAAAGTTTTGCTTGTCCAGAACTTCTGTGTGACCTCTTGCTTTCCCCCAAGACGTGGATTCTGAGCCAGAAACAGGACTTACAAAACCCACGTGCATCTGTAGTAGCCTCTGGCACGCTGAAACAAATGGTCCTGGAAGATAGCCGCTCCTTCCAAATGATTCTGGTTTTAGGGTTGCATCCAGGTGTCGATGTCAAATCCGTTTTGTTCGAAGACCTCCATTCGTTTCGTTCTGCTGTCCTGGCGTGTCTGGCCAAAAGAACCAGAGTCCCCGGAAGTAACATGGAAGTAGATGGCACGGCCCCTGGGAAGACCATTTTCCTCTACACAGTGGGTTTTCCGCTTCCATGTTCGTTCCAAGGAAAGTGTCACATTGCGATTGATTGAACTACCAACATCTACCGCCCCTCCTGAGGAACATCATCTTCTTACCCTTCCCCTCTGTCAAAGACCACGAGCCTGCAGGTGCCTATACCCTTTTCAGACCAGCTGATCTCCCAATTCCCATGTCCCACAGCGCCTGGGTCACCCCATCTCACCGCCCCCCCGCCGCCCCCGATCCCACGGATTCGATGTCCCGGGAGAACCTCCATGAAGTCAGACAAGTCCAAATGCCCTGAATGGATCAGCCGGTGCGCCGGCACGCGAATCCGCCCAGGCTCCAGTGGCGAAGCTTTCTTCTTCTCCACCTGAGGCAGAAGGAACCATCAGATTGGATCCAAGCATACTGAGGTGTGATGCTGAAAACACTGAAATTTGCTCCCGAACAGAGCTGAACACGCCCCGTTTTAACCAAACAATCAAAGACGGATATTAGTCTTCACCAGCTGTTCTCGGAGTTCGGATCCAGACACCTCGACCCTTCTTGTTGTTGTTGTTGCTGTTGCTGTTGTTGTTGCTGTTGTTGCTGTTGTTGTTGTTGCTGTTGGTGTTGTTGTTGTTGTTGGTGGTGGTGTGTGTGTGTGTGTGTCGTTCTGCGCCGTACCTTGCTTTCGTCTTCTTCCTCCTCCTTCGGCACGCCAGACAGAGTCTTCTTCTTGCGCTTAGCTTCTTGTCGCATCTCCTTCAGGAAATAACACGATGCGGAACTTCAAAAAGGACACCAAGGACAAAATATATTCAAAACACACGAAAAAATGCAAAAACAAGTACTATAAATTACTTATAACAAGATTAACAAGTACTGTGGATTTATATAAAGTACTTAAAATTACTTTATGACAAAATTAACAAGTACTGTACATATACATATATATATATATCAATTATAGATGACTATTTTCTCGCATCTCCTTCAGTTCGGCTGGTGTAATGGCATCTCTGCTGGGCGCCTTCTTGGGCGCTCGGTGTTGGCCCTTGAGGAGCTCCGCACGCACCGACATCGGCATGGGCTGACCGCCCTGGGATCGCGAGACTCAACGGCGGAGCATGTCGCCCCCTTCAAGTCTTTGAGCCCCCATTGAAGTCAGGGGGGAGTGAGTAGAAAAAAAACAAAACGATGAACCCTGCCTTGCAGGCCATCCGCTGCATGACCTTGTAGTCCTTGCTGACCTCCTCATGGCCCTTCAAGAACTGCTGTGACAGGCCATCTGATGCAGTGTCGATCAACAACTTGAGAATCTGAGAGTTTTGAGCTGCACGCTGGAAGGTGCCTGTGCTCACTGCAAAGTCGCAAGTCATGCAGTACTCATCTTTCCTTAGATTTGCCGGGACCTGACCCAAAGAAGGCGCTGTTTTCTTTGGGTACCATTCGATAGGGGCCCTGAAAAGAAAGTTCTTCTGCTCCATGTTTACAGTAGCCAGCTCGATTCTTGTGGTTCATATCCCAAGTGGTGATTTACTTGGGGGTTTGCCAGAAATAGTGCTGGTAAAGTGACATGTCCAGTAGAGTGACCCCGAGAAAAAAGGACCGGTCCCAACCGCCATGAGCTTAGACTGATGGTGACGGGGTGGAGCGCAAAAACCGAGCGTCTGGTCCCGGTCCGGTCGTGGTGGTGAAAGACTATAGGGTAAATGGGCTTGTTGGCCACCACCCTCCGCCTTCACGAGCTGTATGTCATCCAGCCGGTCGGTATGCACAATATTGATGAAGCACTTCTGCTTCTGGCCCGTCTTGAAGCTAATGCTTGTCTTCACCTCAATTAGTTGAAAAAAGAAAGCATCCGGAAACAGCCCGGCTCAACCCTGGCGGATTTCTACGAACACTGGAACCCAAAACCGGAAAGCCAATCAAGTCAATGGTCAATATGTCTCTCACATGGGTCCCCTTGAACATGCCTCAACTCTTTCCCTACCACCTTAAAAAGCCTAGATCCAAGGGCATCCAACCCTCCTTAGCCTACGTCTAATAACTAGGGGATCTTCAGACTGAGTCACACAAAGACCAGGTTGACATCTCAGGAGTTGCTGCCCTTCGGGCATCTCTCCCTTTGCCTCGATCTGGCTCAAGTAGTCCAAGTACTCCTGTCGACCGAAGGGACTACGGCCTTCCAGCGGAATCGGTGGTTTTCCGAAGACCCGTTGGGGAAGAGTTGGGTCCATTGGACAAGACAAAGAAGGCAAAGAAGAATTACCCCTTCCAGCCTCGGGGGTGCAAAAGGGAAACCCCCACAAACCCTCCTTGACCGGAATAACAACCCCAGGAACGGGACGAGGACGAGGCTGGGCGGGTCGGCTGGACGGGCCCGTCTCCTGGCGATGGGCGGGGTCTGAGACCTCTCGGGTATATTCATCGATGTGGTCTCGGAACTCCTTCTGCTTCATCGCCTGGGACAGGTCGACGTCGACGGGAAGCGGGATCCGCGAAGTGAAGAACACCGAACTCAACGGCTCTCTATTGGCTGGACTGGGCTGATTACACCCAATTTTTGGGCTCATAATATGGTATACAATTGGTATACTTCATCATTTTGGGGTCCCTTCACGCCTTCTGCAGCTTGGAGATCTCGTCCTGCGTGATGCCCTTCATGTCACCGAAGTCCCCCGGCGCCCGCCGCTCGGGCCGGAACTCCATGGCGGCCACACCGCTGGACGGCCGGAGGGGCGCGGCTGGAGGCTGAGCGGGAGCGGAGCGGAGCGGAGAGGACCAGAGGCGTCTGCAAAACGTTCAGCTCGGTTTGATTTGCCACATGTGTGTGAGGAGAACTTGCCACTGGGATGGATGAAAGCCGTGGAGGAGGAGGAGGAGGAGGAGGATACAAATCAGCACAAAGAAGTGGCGTGCAACAACCTGCGCCTATCTTTGAGGGTGTTTGGGTTCATCAGAGAGCTGTCAATTGCGCCTCCAAATACAGTAGCTACATATCAATTGGTAACCGTATGATATTGGTCCACTGCTTGCAATTTGCATGGTGTTGGGGGATTGCAGTTGCATTGTTCTGCACAAACTATTGGATTATTGGATGCTATATTAGATTATATTGGCGGATGGTTTCTGCTCTGATCCATTATATAAGTTGGAAGTTTGGGGGCTGATGCTACTTTGCCGCGACGCCACAGCCACAGAATCTAGCTGCTCTAGTGAGTTTGGCAATGCCCACACAATCAGGAGGGCCAGGTGGAGGAGATCCGCAACCACAGACCGCATCAAGGAGGAAAAGAGAACTAAAAGAAATAAACATCAATTTAACTCCAATACAGTAATAATATAAAGTATCGTTTATATAAAGACTCAAAAAAGAAAGTGCTGGCCCGCCATGGCACATGTTTGATTAAAGCCCCCGAAGGCTCGGTGTTTTGGACGGGCGCCCGTTCCAGCTCCGGAGCGATCGAAGAATCTCTCACCGCTGTGCCAAGGCACACGCTTCCATCATGTGCCCATGCGAGACCACCACCACATTCTTCTCCGCGCGGCGGCTGCGAGCCAAGTACGTCAAGAACCTCCAAGGGAGCGAGAGGGGCTGGGGAGGTGACAAGCAGGGCGCTTGAAGAATGAACGCGGAAGATGCCATCCCACAATTAAGTATATGTATATATGTGTGTATATATATATAACACCTACTAGTGTATATATATATATTATATAAAAATAGGTTCCCCAAACTTGCATAAACTTGCTGTTGTAATAGCGCGCACGCTGGGTGAAAATCCCATCCAACCGAACATCACCCACCGGCTCACTCAGCTCAGTGTGGCGCCTCCTGGCGTACCGCTTTCGCGCATCGGAGAGGCTTTCCCCAGCTACGGGGGGCTGCCCCAAGATTCGCTTCCAACAAACATGCTGCACCTCAGGCCGGTGGCGACCTTCCAACGTGGAGAACGGGCAGAATCCGAGGATGGCACGATGGTACGGCAAGACCAAAGCTGCGCATGTTTTCGGTGGCTCCAAAATGCTGAAAACGACTAACAAGACATGTCATCGGCATGGTGGACTGGCGTTTGTTCGCCAACACTGACAGGTGCTGAGTGCTGATCAAAGAATACTCTAATCGCCAAATTGGATCAAATTGGCATTTGCGCTAGGAGAGGATGTAAGGCTTTCAGGAAAAGTGGGCACTGAGTTGGCTGGGCAAAAGACATGAAAAGACATGCTACGCCAGCATGCTCTTGGAAGAAACACAGCAAGTACATTGAGGAATGCTCGATATTGCAGAATAACTTCTCTCCTGTAGGCATTCGACGCGTCGTTCTTTTGTCGGCCTGAACCAAGATCCCCAAGAAAGAGATCCAATGGGATTTCGACCGCATTGTTTTGGAAGTCCCCACCCCTCACTTCCGAACATCCAGGGGCCTGCAAAGCTTCCCCAAGAACAACCATGAACAACCTACACAACCGTTACACATCTTCCACAAGCTCTTCAACTCTGGTGCGCACACCCGCCGCCCACGTGGTCCAGGCAAGAAAAGGTCTTCATCCGTCTTTGATTGCTCTGTCAAGGGACAGGCGTCTTGCAGTTCATGCAGCCTTCAGGTTTCCATTGCTTCATGGTCTCGTAGAGGGTCCTTCTGGAACGCCATGGCGTGATCACCCCATCCTGGAACATGGACATGTCAGAGAAGACCGACCTGCCGAACACCGGGCGCTCGGCAGGTCGATCGGACCTGCGTACGGGGGGGGGGGGCGCTCTTCAGAAGCGAAAAAACGACGGTGAGCCACGAATTCAATGAGACAGACTGGTGGAGCAGTCTGAAGCGACCACAAGCTTCTTCAGCTGAGTGGACGAAGCACTCTGCCATGCACATCATGCTTCGTTTGTCTTGACCATTCTTGACCCCCTACAGGCAGAAAAACCATACCGCTTGGAGACCGCAGCACCGAAATTCTCCAAGTCTCGGATTGACTTCGGACCGAGGACCGAGGAGACGCATCCCCCTACATCCCCCTACCCACCAACGCATGAAGTTCGGTGAGGTGCGTTTGCTCTGCCATCCTGAAACTGGCCCCCACGGCTTTCGCAGGCCACCCATTGGCACCTTCCGAAGACTTCGCCCAGCTCGTGGTCTAGCAAGACCATCAAGCCCAAACGCTCTGCAATAATCACCTAACGCACGAGCCCAAAAAACGGATGGCTGCTCGAAAACCTGACCCTGTTAGACTGAGACTCAGTTATATAGATTTTTTGTTTGCATCATTCTTCTGTCGGTCCGTCATGAGCGGGAAAAATGGGAAGTTCGCCATCGTCATGAAGAATTCTCGCGGCAAACGTCCTTTACCCCTCTTTCTCTTGGAACATGCACGTAGCAGTGCTCCGGCTCTCCGTCATTCCGTCGTGCAGTGGCTGGTCCCTCAGACTTCATGGAGCCACCAAAAAGGGGTGAACTATCAAAAAGATCGACGCATAGAAAACAACGTCCACGCGTCAAATCAATAAATCTAGCGAACAAAAAAAACATAGTCTAGTAGTAGTTGTCGTCGTCGTCGCACTAGTGCTAGTACCAGTACTAAGTATAATAAGTAAAGTATATAAGTATAAGTATAAGTATAAGTAGTAGTAATAGTAGTAGTAGTAGTCGTCGTCGTCGTCGTTGTCGTCGTAGTCGTAGTCATAGTAGTACTAGCAATCGTACTAGTAGTAGTCGTAGTCGTAGTCGTCGTCGTCGTCGTGGTGGTGGACTTCGGGTGGCTCAACAACGGTATGCTGACTTGGAATGACCTTTTCCTTCTCTAAATTTTCCCTCTGGGTGGCTCACAAAAGGTATGTGTCACCTTTCTCCTTTAAATTTTGCCCTCAGCAGCCTCCCAAAAAGAATGATAGTCTAAATCTTACCCTCAGGTGAGTCACAAAAGGCATGTTACGTTGGAATAGCCTTTTTCATCCTTTTTCCATCTTCTTCCTCTCTCAACTCTTCTATCGGCGCTGCTCATAGCTCACACGTACAGGTATGCTTTATATACATTGGCATGGGCACATTGGAGGTGGCTCACCTTCGAAACACTCCTCCCGTCCACGCTGTCGCCTTTCACCGTCGACCAAACCAAGGGGAGGGGGACCCGACCAAAGAACCAGCAGGACCAGCAGGACCAAGGGAACAGCGGATTTCGCGTCAATGTTGTGAGTATTTTTGGATTGGGTACAAATATCATTATAATTACTGTTCCTTGACTTGGTAATTATTTTTGTGATTCCTATCGGAAATCCAAGGCTCTTTCAGCGTACCCTGTGGACTCTCCCTGCTCTGGGCGGACACATCGAGGAATTACCCCCCTTCCACTTCCACTGCCACAAAAAAACGGCCTTACTAAGAACTGAAGCAAAGCATGAAGAAGTCACCATCTCCTTGAAACCCTCTTGAAACTTGAAACCTAAAACATCCCTAAAGCCCTAAAACCATCTAAAACCCTAAACCCTAAGACCCTAAAACATCCTAAAACCGTAAACCTTTACCTCCAAACCTTCCCACCTTCTCATGTTGTCACATCCCCGTCACAAACATCCGTCCGGGTCTTACTTCTTCCTCCAGGCCACGGCGGTCTGCACACACCGCAGGTACGGCGAAGAGACCACGATGCCGAAGTTGCTGCAGGCATGGAGGCCTCGGCGACTGGGCGACTCACTCCCGGCGGAAGTAGGGATAGCCATGGGGGAAATGGGAGACGAGTCCGGCAGTCCGGAGTGGTCCTCCTCTCCGGACTCCGAAGAATGCGAATGGAGAGGAAGGTTGCCCCATTGGTCGCGTGTTTGCGCGACAAAGCGCCTGGCGGCCAAACGCGCTTGTCTCATTTTGCCCATATATGCCCATATTAAGTCGGTTCATCCATCCTGCGCGTGCCGTGAAGGACAAAAAAAGAAGCGCCCCCAGTGGAACATAAAGGACATCCTTTATCCAGGGCAGCCTGGGTCGAACCTGTGACCAGGACGTCCAACGGGGCGACGTTTTCGCGTCACCGTAGACAGGTGCAGAGTTCTTAACTGTTGTTGTAAAAAAAAAACGTCCACTTGGGTCGGCGGTTTAAAGGGAGGTTTAAGGCTTGACCCACAGCTGACTCGTGCCTAGTAGAGAATGGGGGAACGGATTATAGTGGAGGGTCATTCCTTCATCCCATGCTAAGCGCCAGTCATGGAATCATTGCAATACTCAACCACGACGGAAGGATTTGAGCGAATGGGCAACGATTGAATGACTGCCACTACCTACCATGCCATGCATTTAAAAAAAAGGGGCAGTGAAGCATGTCCGATCAGAACCTATCAAGTGGCTCTTTGCGATATCTCGGGCTTGTCGAACGCCCTCAGCAGTGATTGGGCAGTCATAGGGGTGCTGTTTCCTCGGTCGGCTGATCACGGCTGGTCAACAAATGAAAAGCCTCTATCATCATTCTTCCCCCAACAAAATAAGGCAATGCAAATCAGTTCCAAACATTTATTGCAAATACTTGCAGCTTGCATGATCATCTTTTGCCAAGAGTTCCATCTTTTCATCTACTTGAGGATTGTTTTGAATTGACCGCCTTTGAGTGCTAGATGCCACAGCATAAACACCACCAGGCTGCGCATCATCTGACTGGTACCACAAAGAGTTCCAAACGGTATCTTCGCGCTCTCCATGCCGCACCACCGCAACTGAGGCCAGCCG